GGTAGATGAGTTGATCTCGAATGCAGGGAGAGAAAAGAGGACAGTATTTCTCTCTGGAAGACCAATGAGTTGACCGGTAGGAAGTCAGAAGTTTGTATTATGCCGGTCTGGATACAGTTGTTCTCAAAGCTAGAGTGTCGACTAATCGTGAGACCCGAAACAGATCCTTATTTGGGAAAAATGGTTTCCAAATTTCATTACTCATTTGGAATCTTTTCTTGCACTTTTTCCTGGTCCGGCAAGGATCCACCGTGAACACTGTATTCAATCGGTGATACTCAGAGTCATTGGTGTCTTGTTTCGCGAATGACGTTCCGTGTCGTCCGTTCGATAGGAGGCCCTCAGTTAGCGGTATCTTTTTATTTTTCTTCACTAAGATGCAATTAACCGGTTAGCAACGCAGAAACGCGTTCAAGACTGATCTTATGATGCGCAACGATTTACTTGATTAGGACAAGTGATGCGTACCTGTGTACACAAGGTAACTGTACTATCTGAACTACGAATCAGATGTATCAAATCAGATCTGATTTATCATACAATCTAAAGCAACTTGGGTATACAAACGAATTTTCCAGCATTCTGGCCACAGGGAGAAAACCTTCCCCACTTCGCACACATATTTTTAATCCCTTGGCGGAAACCACCTGACGTGTGTTACACTTTCAGTAAAATCGCATTCCACAACTTTTCAACGTGATTGGTGACAATTGAGCATTCCGATGCGTGTTGAAATACAACAAACGGAGTGCAAGCCAATTCATTCCAGGCATCGCGAAACCCCACGGAGATGGCAAGCCATATTGCATTGATATGCGCATTATCGTCGTACCTTGAAATGTATTTATTCTCCAGCGTGGATGCTTTTAATTTGTTATCCCACGCTTAAACGAGATTAACTATTTTCCCATTTTATAGACTAACTACTCGCGAGTAGTGTAATAACAATGGTGCTCAAGGGAAAGTAGGCGCAGTCAATATAGCACGATTCCCACAGAAGTGACCTTTAAAAAATTCCAAATAAGACAGGTTGGATAAGTAATTCGTTCAGAGGAATTGTCTGTCTACTCCTCAGAAAAAAAACAGCTATTTTATGTGCGGTAGTGGCGGGGT